GTGTACATTAATGCAATCATGGGGGTGTAATGTACTGGTTTTATAGGGAATGATTGTGAATTGACATTCAACCACTGGGCAGAGAAAACCTCCAGGAAATCATTCTGAGGAGGTAACTATTGTGCTATGGTTAACAGGAAGTATTTGGTGGCTAAAATGGAGAGGAAAGGCAGTGAACAAGGAGTTAGGAGACACAGGCTCTGCTTCTTCTTATAGACATTTAGTGATGCCACCACTTCTTGCTCAACATCTCTACCTATCAGTGGGAGACTTTACGAGAGCATCTTGAGAGTTTCCCAAGATGATGCTAAGTAGAGTACTTTAAAATTTCTTAAAAGATCAATGCATGTAAATTTCAATGCATTTTCACATTGCTTCCCTCTAGATACTTACAGAGATATATGATAAAGGCAATTAAAATATGAGCCAGCAGCAGCCAGGTTGGTAGTCAATCTCAGAAAATGTTATCACAGTAGGAATCTAACCAAACATTAGCGGTAGTGTCACTGAAAATCCTGGGGAAGTTTGTAAGTGCTCAGTGTGTGAGACTGCAACAAGGGAAGCACCAGACACGGAAAAGGAAAAGGGCTGCTTGATACTTTTCTTCCTCACATTTTGTACCACTTGATAGTTTTTTCTCATATTTCTCATATTGGAATTTACTCTAAGTCATGGTTTCTTTGGAAAGATATTCTATTATACGGTTACTTGAATTTTCAATGAGCACCTACTCTGTGCTAGGATGTTAATTGTTATTTTTGGAGAACTGTTTTTGTGCCAGGGATCATGTTAAATACTTAACATATTAATAATTATCTTATCTAATTTTATAGTAATCTATACAATTGAAGTCGATATACCCTTCTTAATACATCAATAAACAGACTCAGAAGAACAATGGAACCAACATTAGATAGACACTAGGTAGCTTTTAGTAGAATTGAGGTTCAGATATAGAGCAACAACATTTCAGAGGCTGTGCTTGCAAATTCATGGCTTTATTGACAGTTAAGTTTTTGGAAGTCTTTCTTCCTCAAAAAAAATTAATTAAATTCTATAAAGTTTTATAAAATAGATGCAAAAATAAATTCAGTTATGTGTTTACTTTTGTATTTGTACAAATATATGGGGTACAAATACAGTTTTGTTATATGTGTAGCCTTTGTAATGAAATTAGGACTTTTAGGGTATCCATCATTTCTCACATCACCTGAATAGCATACATTGTACCCACTAAGTTATTCAATTTTTGGACTGCACATGCTTCCTCCAGCCATTTAGGGACCAAGATGGAGCTGAAAATAATATAAACAAACATGTGAATCTTTTTGTCCAGGAAGTTTATAGGCATCTTCAATTCAAGAATTGAACAATAGGAATTTAAATACTCTTGTTTTACATCCCAAAATTTGGGAGTCAATCATAAGTTGTTCTCAATGTCTTCTTTGTGCTTCAAGAGAGGAAACCAGAGAGTCTTTCTTATTTAGTATAGATGCATTTCTTGCAGTGCAGCCTTTTCCATTGAATCACTGTAAAACAGACCTATCATTTAGTGTTACCCAAAACATGTCATTTCTGTTATTCCAAGTCATGTGGGATGGAAGGCCAGAGAGTTCTTGGAAGTATGACAGTGAAAGAGATAAAAAGAAGTAATTGGGAAACAGAGAGTAGGCCTCTATTTTCAAAACCTCATCAGTAATACTGATGTGCTCAGATGTAGAAATGAAAATTCCATAAACTAAACATATTCAAGTCCAGAAACTGCAACATGCAAATGTCATTAAAAGATGTTTCATTCCTTTTGAAAAGACGTCTTGAGAACACTTAGAGAACTAAAAATAGACCTGCCATTTGATCCTGCAATTCCTTTATTAGGGATATATCCAGAAGACCAAAAATCACATTACAATAAAGATATTTGTATCAGAATGTTTCATAATTGCTAGGTCATGGAAGAAGCCCAAGTGCCCATTGACCCACGAATGGATCAATGGATTGTGGTATATGTACACCATGGAATACTATGCAGCATTAAAGAAAGATGGCGACTTTACCTCTTTGGGTTTACATGGATGGAGCTGGAAAATGTTCTTCTTAGCAAAGTATCTCAAGAATGGAAGAAAAAGTATCCAATGTACACAGCCCTATTATGAAACTAATTTATAGCTTTCATAGGAGAGCTATAACCTAATTATAGCCTTAGAATATGTGGAGGGGGAGAGGAGGAAGGTGGATGGGTGATTGGTGGAGTCACCTCTATGTTTTATCCTACAAGGGTACAAGTGAATCATTCTAAAAGCAGAGTATGAATGTCTTAACACAATAACTAAGAAAATGACATGAAGGCTACGTTAACCAGTTTGATGAGAGTATTTCAAATTGTATATGAAAACACCACACTATACCCCATGATTGCATTAATGTACATAGCTATGATTTAATAATAATAATAATAAAATGTTATCCTGTTCAGCTCAACAGAGAAAGAAAACCTACAAGTTCCTTTAAAATATGAACAACTATAAATCATAAACTTGGTTCTTTACAATTCCTCTTCAAGATAAGTACTATGTGGGAAAAGGTTTTGTATCTTGGTCCAAAAGATAGGTTTGGATGCTTACAAATGTTTCCCACTGATATCAAGATGTCACACATTCAGGTAGCTAAAACACAATCTGGTCGTTCTATTTTTCTGACTACATTGTTGTCACAGCAGAGGGTCTGAGAAAGTGTAGAAGTGTTTCAGTAGCAAGTAAAAGCCAGGGGATGTCACCCCTGGTGACAAGTAAAAGCCAGTGTTTCAGTAGCAAGTAAAAGCCAGGGGATGGCAAATGCATGTAGTCTGTGGTATGGTTGAGAGATAATTGCCTCAAGGAGTATGTCGTGGAAAATTTTAAGGATGATGAGGTCAGATTCCACTCTGCAGGAATCCACAGCAAGTAATCACTACAATGAATATGACTAGCTGCCTTGATTAAGAGATATTTCATATTTGTAATGAAGCTTTTTACTAGGCTTAAAGGTGAAAAAGTGTGACTACAAATGTTTAGGCATTACAACCCTACCAAAAGAGAAATATGATTCAATAAATTTAATTGGGGGCTCAGTCTTCATTACCTTGTAACTATAAACACCAGAAACCATTTGTAATCCATCAAATTAGCTAGGTTGTAAGGTTTTCGGGCAACAGAGCTACTGCACCCATTCTAGAGGGAAATTCAGCAATATATGTCAAAAGACTTAACTCCCGCATATGTTTTCTCTTGGCAATTTCAGTCCTAAGAATTACTTTTAAGAAGGATATATTCAAATATCTAGCTAAAGAATGGTTCCTCTAACATTAGTCATAAAAGTTAGAACCTAGTTCCTGTATAAAGAAATGATTAAACAAATTACCATATATTGGTAGAAGGAAATATTATTTATTTTAATGACCACTTTACATTATGATTTTTAGACATTTGAGAGTCCCAGACCATATTTAAAATAGAAGAAATATCACAGATGCTCTCTTATTTTCAAATATTCATAGATGTAAGTAAATACATAGAGTTGGGTTCAAAATGTGAAAACATTTAAGAATTTCCTGAAGTGTGTTTAGAACACTAAGCTAAAAATTCAACAATAATGATAACTGAATTATAAAACATTCACAATATATCAACTGAAAAATCAGGATATATAACATATACATAGCATTACTCCTTATTAACTTAAATATTTATATTCATGCATGAATATTATATTTTTATGATTCTAAAAACACCAGGATAGACCTCCTAACCACCATTGAATGACATCTTAATATTTGAATTATTTACTCACTTGTTCACCATTTCCGTTAAAGAGTTTGAGAAACAAGAGATGGCACCTGTGGCTCAAAGAAGTAGAGTGCCGGCCCCACATGCCGGAGGTGGCATTTTCAAACCACCAATCCCCCTGCCCCCAGCCAAAAACTGCAAAAAATAAGTAAATAAATAAAGTTTGATGAACAAAAAATTCAATTACTAATTAACAAACAATAATAATGTCATTACTTTTAATAACATTAAAGGGCATCTATGTTACAAAAATACCTTATATACAAAGCAATATAAGTCTGTTTGGTTGTTTTCTGTGTTTGTGTGTGTTGGGAGGACGGCATGATTTAAGTTTTTAGCTACAATAAATGGAAACCAAGTCTAGCTAATTTAAGCAGAATGAGCATTCATTAAATGGACCATGATAGAGATGACAACTTCTACAATGGTAAAGAGCACATGGAACTTCTCCATAGTGAAAAAACTATAACTTGTTAAATATTTTATATGTTTATATGACTAATTAATCTTTGAAAACTGATGGTCCTATTGACATACAACAAATGGATAAACATTTATTACGGAAATCTATTAAATCTCTGACCATGTGAGATTTACCCCAGAAGTGCAAGGTCATTTTAATATCTGTAATTAATGTAATATACTGTATCAAAAGATGAAAACTACGTGAGTATCTCAATCAATGCATACAAAGCCAGTGGCAAAAATCCAATGTATTTTCTTGGTAAAAACTTAACATAAGAATTGAAAGAAGCTTCATCAAACTCATGAAAAGTATCAACATGTACATATGCCCTGAACTAAGATTGTACTTACTGGTGATTGACTGAATAACCACGAAAAAGACAAATGACCTTACTATTCCTTTTCAACATTGTAATCTAAGTTCTAGGAAGGATATTTAAGAAAGAAAAAGAAATAAAGGCATTCATATAAAAGGAAAAATATAAAACTATTTTAAGATGACATGATCCTGTATATATAAAATTTAAAGAAAACTAATAAAAAAATTAAATGAGTTTCCCAAAATTTTAGGATGCAAGATCAATATATAACAATCAATAATGTGTGTATACACTAGTAATCAACAATCTGAAACAATTTCAAGTGCCATAGAATCTAAAAATAAGAGACTTAGAAATATATTTAATAAAGCCAGTTTAAAAATTATATGTTACAGTGCTTGCTTCAGCAGCATATATACTAAAATTGGAATGATACAGAGAAGATTAGCATGGCCCCTGCATGAGGATGACACACAAATTTGTGAAGTGTTTCATATTTAAAAAAAAAAAGAAAGAAAAAAGAAAATTCTATGGTACAAAATAAAAATCATTGTTGGAAAAAATCAAAGAAAAGCTATGTAAGTGGAAACAAATTCACGTGGTTGGATAGGAAGACATAATTACTATTAAGATGACAATACCCTTCAACTTGGTCTATAGATTCGACAGAACATTTCTGTTGGTAAAAGCAACGGTGAAAAGAAGAACAAGATTGGAAGACTAACATATCTTGATTTAAAAATACCACAGTTCGAATTGTCTCTAATCAGTGAAAAATAGAAGGAACTGCTTCCTTCACTGTTGTCACAAGAAACAATGGTATCTTACATCAGTAATTCCAGATGAACTGTGACAGTTGGCTGAAGTTAAGTCCCAGCCTGTAAATTCACTGGCAAAGAATTTGGGAAAGTGAGAAAGTATCTCCAGCTTCATAATAAAAGGCAAGAATCAGCCCTTTACCAGTACTTAAAAGGTAAGGAATTGCTCACATACACAAAGAGTATGCTGACACTAGACAGTCAAAACATGAAAAATGTCCACACTGATATGGATGTGAGTATTCATATTTAAAATGAGCTATGAAGGTCACTACATATATATTTATTAAAACATTCTCAGCTCAGCGCCTGTGGTTCAAGTGGCTAAGGCATGGCCACATACACCTAAGGTGGTGGGATCGAATCCAGCCCGGCCCACCAAACAACAATGATGGCTGCAACCAGAAAAAAATAAGCCAGGCATGGCGGGTGCCTGTGGTCCCAGCTACTAGGGAGGCAGAGGCAGGAGACTCGCTTGAGCCCTGGAGTTGGAGGTTGCTGTGAGCTGTGATGCCACAGCACCCTACCCAGGGCCACAGCTTGAGGCTCTGTCTCAAAAAAAAAAATTCTCAAAGTTCATAATACCAAAATCTTGCCAGCTGTGGCATTTTTCCTCTTTTTCTACCAATTAGCATTTTATAAATATTTTAAACAATGAAATAGTATTTATTTTTTAATAACAAAACCACTTTAATTATTTTTGAATGATAACTAAAGTAATTGTCAATCAGTGCTTTTTAAAGATTTAACTTTTAATTCCTCCAACTATTGGTAGAAACACCAAACTTGAATATTATGGACATCCTTCCAATAGCTTGTTTTTTTACTTTAATTAAATTGAGAATATCATTCATGGCACGTTGAAAATGATTCTTTTCCCCTATGCCTTTGTGAAAGTGTCACATATTATCATATCTGTCATTGCTGGTTCCATCATTCAGTCATAAATCTTCCATGGACAGCGTAGTCTATTTCTAATGAAAGCCTTCAGTTTAGAAAAAGAGGCATTCAACTGAGGCCCTCTCAAAGTCCTTTTTCATTCAAATTGCTGAGGAAGCTTTAAGTACCTTGCTGTCCAAATGACTTAGTGAAATTAATGATCCAAAATAAGAGTCAAAACCCCTATATTCCTTTCTGGAAACAAAATTAGAGCATCTAAGGCAGAGAGAGAAAGCAGGCCAGAGAGTTGCACTAGCAAGCTAGTGATAACAAAGATTTTCTAAGGAGCCAATAAATCAACATTATTTCAAGTTTCCAGGATTCATTATAAAAAGCAATTATGTGAGTCAAAATAAAAATAGTAACATTGGGGCTGGGATCTGAATTATAAACCAAATGTGATGGGGATGTGTATATTGAGGATCTAATTTTTCCAGTGTTTTGGGATAAGGTTAAAAGCACAGATAGTGCAGTTTAACTAAGTTGGGTTCAAAGCTGGTTAGTGACTAGAAGTGTGACATTAGAAACTGTTATGAACAGAAACCATTACAGGGAAAGAGAATGATTTAAAACAATTAGACCATCTTCTGCCTAAACAAGAAAGACAAATGACTCATATATATTTATAAATTTATTCCACAGGCAATTGGAAAAATGAATCCACATAACTCAATAAATATAATTAACTCTTAAGAGGCTCCTTCCTCTGAGTTATTCACGTATTAATTAATTAATTAAATATTTACTTATAACCTTCTATTTACTTGACATTCTATATGCATGTGGCAGCAAAATGAGTGATTGTACATAAAACCAAGTAGCTCATAAAATTGAGGGATGTCTGTGTCCTTGTGCATGTGTGTTTGTGTGGAGAGAGCAGCTCAAAAGATGCATATGCAAATATGTGCGCACAAGTACACAGACACACACATAGCTACAAACATGGACACTTACCCAGGTAAAGGGGTTACACCATTATAATTCAGGTTTGGGGGAGTGCAGAATAGAATCTTATTTAGCACAAGATTTCTTTTTGTAATTTAACATATTAAAGCTTTTAGTAGATACCGTGTTTCCCCCAAAATAAGACCTACCCCCAAAATAAGCCCTAGCAGGATTTCTATGCATTTGTTAAATATAAGTCCTACCCCGATAATAAGACCTAATGGTGGGCGTGGCTATGCATTTTGGCACTGAGCGGTAAGGAAGACTGGAATACCTTTTGTCTGCCACAGCTTCTTTCCTCCTAGCCATTTGCACTTGTGTGGGTACGAGTATGGTAACCACGGTTGCAGGCATCCTATTGTGCATGTGCGAAAGGCTAGGGGAAAGGAGTTCATGCATCACTAGTGCCAGCCCCACCAACAAGGTCAGCTCCCCTGGTCAGGTTCCAGAAGAAGATAACTGTATTTGAGTAAATGTAGATTGTTGTATTATACTTAATAAAAAAAGGCATCCCCTGAAAATAAGCCCTACTGTGTCTTCTTGAGAAAAAATAAATATAAGACAGTGTCTTATTTTCAGGGAAACATGGTATTTTGCCTAAAGGATCACTAATGTCTCATTTAACTCAAAGATTTTCGAAGGCTTAAAGTCACCTAGTAAAAGGAAAATTATTTTCAAATTTGTCTAGCAAAGAACAACTATAATATGTATACAAGAGATGCACCAAAAAATCATTCAGAAAGGTTCAAAAATAAAAAGGCTGACAAACACATATTGGAAAGTGGAAACAATAAAATCAGCATTGCTTTGCTGCTGATCTCAAAGTAGGATTTACACTAAAAAGTATAAAATTCAACAAAAACACTTTTACTGATACTAAAACTACAATTTGGAATGATTATGCAACAGTGGTAAGTATCTATAAGTAACCATCTTTTTAAAAGCAAAAATTATAGGAAATTAAAGATACATTGTCAAAAATGGCCTAATATAAGAACAATTTTAAATCCCACTCTCTGCACAAAACAATTCAAATGGCCAAAAATGTAAATGAGAGTATAGAGGACCAAACAACATAATCAATAAGTATAATCTTATGGCTACATACTGAACAGTACATCCTGATAATAGAGGACATACTTTCATCTCAAGAGCACTTGGAAAAGTCATAAAAAAGAATCATGTATGGGTGACAAAAAAAATCAGGAAATTCTATAAAGTAAAAATATTATAATACACATTGATCATATTATGATAAAACTAGAAACTGTTAAAACAAAATTAAAATAGAGACTTAAGCTAAAAATTTCCTGAGAAGATAAAAACACCAGCGAGACCTTTAAAAGAGGTTTAATGTATCCTGTACTACACATGTAAGTGGAACTAAATTTATGTCATTTCTCATTAATGTTTATATCAGACAGAAACAAAACTTAAACTTCAGCCCATCATAAGCAGCCAACTAACATATGGTTATGTGACTAGGCATTCTCCAACAAGGTGCATGGTTTGAATGACCCCTCCAAGGCTCATGTTTAAATTTAAATGTCAAGGTGGAGTTACTACAGGCAGGGCTTTCAAGACATGATTAGATCATGAGAGGTCCACCCTCAAAAATGTATTAATGCCATTATTCTCAGAGTGGGTTAGTCACAGAGAGAGTGCTTTCCTGACAAAAGGATCCAGTTCAGCACCATTTGCTCTCTGTCTTACACAGGTGCCCACAAAGCGAAGACTAATGCCATGAGATAAGACACTGATCAGATGCCAATGTCACACTGTTAGACTTCCCAGCCACCAGAACCATGAGCAAAATAAATCTATTTCCCTTATAAATTACTGAGTCTATGAAACAGTTAAACCAAAAAATTTTGTAACTGAAGCCAATCAAACAATTTCTTTACTTTACTTCCTTCTTTACCCTAATTCATAAATACTTTCCTCTGAGGTTTTATAATTGGAACACCAAACTTCTTTTAATTTGATATTTCTTAATTCATGAATTGCTTCTTACTCAGATAAACTCTAAAATTTCATTGTACTCAGATTTTTATTTTACAGAACTGGCAGTGATATAAAGAAACTCAGGCCCTATAACCTTAAAATTCAAAATAATAAACAATTCATGGATGAAAGAGAAAATAGAAATTGTAGAATTTCTTAAAATTAATAAGAAAACAACACACATAGTAATCAATGGAACATATTTAAATAATGATCAAAGTAAAATCAAAGTAAACACAAATTTAATAACCATAAAAGAATGACAAGTAAATTAAGTTCCTACCTAAAATGCTATAAAATAGAGAACAGTATATTTCAAAAAATGTATACAAAATTATTAAATTCAAAACAAAATTTGTAGAGCAGAGCATTGAAAAAAATATGCAAACTACTATTACCTTAATTAAGAGAAAAAGTAAATACAAATATATAATATAAGATATATAAGAAGAAAATGACCATTGAAACAGAAATCATTTTTAAAATCCACGAGACTAAGTTATACCTTGCTGCTACCCCAGTGGAGAAGGAAAGATTAACTATGTAAATATTCATGGAAACAACAAAGAATGACATTAAGAAACAAAAAATAAACATGAAGTCTTAATGATGTCATAGGGGAGTTCTACAAAATCACAAAAACAAAGACTGGATTGCCCCAATGATACATAAATGTCTTCAGGGCCTAGAAAATGAAAGAACTTTTCAAATTCCTTTTATTATAAATTCTAAACCTGATAAGAGATTATAGTAAGAAAGGAAATTATATACTGATATCACTTATACAACAATATA